CACACACACACATACACACGCACACTCACGCGCGCGCGCGCACACACACACGCACACACACACACACACGTGCACACACACACACTCACACACACACACACACACACACTCACACGCACACGTGCACACACACACACACTCACACACACACACACACACTCACACACACTCTCACACGTCCAAGTAGACCTACCTGGTGCTCCCCTCATTCCTAAAGTCCTCGTGTCAGTTCGGCTGGAGCACTGGTGAAGAAACCCTTCAGTAGGTACCCTCACTCCACCTTTTCCCTCCCGCAACAGTGATAGGGTTCCCCTTTCCTTACCTATTATACCACCTGCATCCACATCCCGAGGAGCATTAGCCACTATTTCCACCACCTCCAGCGAGATGCCACCACCAAACACATATTCCCCTCCCCTCTCTTGGCCAATTAAGGGACTCAGTTGGGGTGGGGTTTGGCCGCCTAAACTAAAGTGCAGATAGAGTTAGCGACGATCTGGAACCAGGAGTCAATGCTGCGATTCACATCCACATGGCAGTTACAGTGCGGAGAACACCATAGTGACTGCACATTCGCAAAGCCGCGCAGTGTAGACAGAGCATTGTTTTTGATGCCTTTAAAACCTAAATATTATCTTGAATATATGCAGTGACTGGACCTCTACAGCTTTAATTCCACAGGCTCGCTACCCTCTGAGTGAAGAAATGTTTTCCCATATCGGTCATAATGGTCTGTGACCCCTAATTCTATCCTCTCCCAACCAGAGGAAACATATAAAAATAGACTGGAACGGTTGAGATTTTTTTTTTACTCGAGTGTAGGAGGTCCAGGGATGACCTTATTGAGGTTTATAAAATAATCAGAGGCATAGATAAGGTGAACAGCAAGGGTCTTTGGCCTAGGATGAGGGAGCTCAAAACTAGAGGGCATAGTTTTAAGTCAGAGGAGAAAGATTTAAAAAGGACATGAGGGGCAATTTTTTTACACAGAGAGTGGTTCGTGTGTGGGGTGAACTGCCAGAGGAAGTGATGGATGTAGGTACAGTTACAATGTTTAAAAGACATTTGGATAAGCACATTAATAGGAAATGTTTGGAGGGATATGGGCCAAGCACAGGCAGGTGGGACTAACTTAGTTTGGGAACATGGTCAGCATTAACTGGTTGGACCGAAGCGTCTGTTTCCGTGCTGTATGACTCAATGACTCTATCAACTCTGTCCAGCCCTGATGCAATTTCATAAGCTTCACTCAGATCCCCTCTCATCCTCCTAAACTTTAGTGAATACAGGCCCATTCGAAACAAACTCTCCTTATAGCACAGTCCAGCCATCTCTGGTATCAGCCTAGTGAACCTCCGCTTCACTCTCTCTATGGTGAGTGTATCTTTTCTTAGGTAGGGAGACCCAAAGTACACTCAATACTCCAGGTGTGGTCTCACCAAATCCAGATATAACGGAAGTCAGAAATCCCTAGTTCTGAACTCAAATCCTCTTGCAAAGACCAGCATTTCCCTTCCTCATTGCATGTATAAAGATTAACCAAATCCACATTTCCCATTGAAATAATACTGTTTTTCACACTGAATTTTATAACCCATGACTCATCCCAGGAACCAAGCACATCCTTCCTTAAGCAGGGAAACCAAAATGGCATCCAGCCTCATCAAAGTCCTACACAATTATAGCAAGACCTCGTTACTCATCATTCTAATCTCCTTGTGATAAAATCCCGTAGTTTTGACCTTCTGGTCTGCCCAGGTCATTTGCTTAAGAACATAGCACCATAATAAACAGGAACAGCAGAAGGCCATTCAGTCCCTCAAACATGCTCGGCTATTCATTAGGATCATGGCCGATTCACACTGGAAAGCAATGATTTGGCATGGGAACCCAAATGGACGGTGGCAACAGGTTTAGCAGGGTATTGCAAAAGGGGAATTAGATATCCATTTGAAAATACTGGACTATATGTAAACAGCAGAAGAGTGGGACTGAACAGATATATTTGAGGCAATCACTTCGATGTCAGTGTTTAAGTTGACCCTTGAAGTGTTGAGAAGGCCCCTCCAAAAAGTTGATAGCTAGCATCCAAGTTCAGCAGGTAACAGGAATGTTGACCTTTATTTCAAAGGGAATGCCGTATGGAAGTAGATTCCCCAGCACTGTTGTTGACAGGGCCCTCAGTCGGGTCTGACCCATCTCCCACACTTTGGCCCTCGCCCCATTTCGGCCAAATCCAGCAAGATGCCACCACCAGACACACATTCCCCTCCCCTCCTTTGTCAGCCTTCTGCAGGGACCGTTCCCTCTGGGGCACCTTGGCCCACTCTTCCTTCACTTCCCAAACTCCCGCCCACAGCACCATGGCACCTTCCCCCGCAACCACCGAAGGTGCAACACCTGCCCATTTACCTCCTCCGTCCCCAATATCCAAGGGCCCAAACATACCTTCCAGGTGAAGCAACACTTCACCTGCCCTTCCCACAATGTAATCTACTGCATTCACTGCACACAATGTGGTCTCCTCTACATCGGGGAAACGAACCATCAACTGGGTGACAGTTTTGCAGAACATCTACGGTCTGCCTGCAAAAGAAGACCCTGAGCTACCTGTTGCCTGCCACTTTAACGCATCACCCTATTCCTTGGTCAATGTCTCTGTCTCTGGCTTGCTGCAGTGCTCCAGCGAAGCTCAGTGCAGGCTGGAAGAGCAACATCTCATTTTCCGCTTGGGGTGCCTGCAGCCCTCCAGGCTCAATATCAAGTTCAACAACTTCAGAGCTTGAGCTCTCCCATGTCCTTGCTCCAACCCCAACACACCAGGCCTTGTTATCACATAGTCAACTATTCCATACAACCCATTGTTAGCCACTAACAGTCCCTATTAATAGTTATTCACCCTCCTATCCTGATTGTTATCCACTGCTTTGTTTGTCCAATTGTTCTTGCCTTTCTTTGAGATCTATCACCACTCATTGTTTACTGCTTAACCCCTTCCCCAAAATCTATCTTCTGCATATAAACCGACACTTTCCTAACTCATCAGTTCTGAGGAAGGGTTACTTAACCCAAAACATTAATTCTGATTTCTCTTCACAGATGCTGCCAGACCTGCTGAGTTTTTCCAGCAACTTCTGTTTTTGTTACCAAATGCTGTTTGGCATAATATTCTTCTACATCATCTTTTCTGGTAAGCAGAGCAATCAGTGAAAAAAAAAGGTTAGGAGGGGTTTGTGGAGCATGAGAAATTGATCTCGCTCTTTGGGCACCTTCTCTTCAGCTGTAACATTGTATTCCTCGCTCTGTTCTATTCCCATAATGCACTTTGCATCGTATCATCTGCCTGTACTGCATACAAAACAAAACTTTTCACTGTTCCTAGGTACGTGTGACATAAATAATTCAGATCAAATCAAATCAAATACTCATTTCAATTTGTACATTTTCAGGGACAGTGCCTGATACTAAACAAGCCATTAGCAAGAAAAGCTGTGGAAATTTCACTGCCACAGAAGGCTGTGGAGGCCAGGTCATTGAGTATATTTAAGACAGAAATAGATAGGTTCTTGATTGTCAAAGGGATCACAGGTTATGTGGAGAAAGCGGGCGAATGGAGTTGAGAAAGTCATCTGCCAAGATTGAATGGTGGAGCAGACTCGATGGGCCGCATGGCCTAATTTCTGCTCCTTTGTCTTATGGTCTTATGGTAAAATTGTTTAACTTCTCTTTGGCACTTACCACCTGCAACAGAGCGAGGTAGCCCATCATGACGTTGTCAAAGTTGATCTTCTCATTGTGCCATCGGACATCGGAGCTGTTCAGCATGTTGCATTCAGTCTTGTTGTTGACGACGTTAATGGGAAATGTCTCGCCACTGGTCAGATTCTTGCACTTATAGAATTTGCCTGCAAAGAGGTTGACTCCCATAATGCTAAAAATGAGCCAGAAGATGAGACAGACGAAGCAAACATTCATGATGGATGGGATGGCACCAATCAGCGCATTGACTACCACCTAAACCAGATGAATTGGGGAAAGGAAAAAGGTTATAAATCTGGAGGAAAACATTCTGCAAGGTAAAAAGACACTGGATCTAATTACTTTGTACCCCTCTGTTGTCTGGTACAAAAGCAGCAGGGTGAAT